TTGCATTTTTTTTAGTGTCTAAAGTTATTCCACTTCATAACTGAACACATACTTTAGTTCTAGAGAATGCGTACTGTCCTGTCTTAGAAGATTTGTGATTAGGAAAATGCAGAATGTCATCCTTACTGCTGAACAGTTTCAAAAAAGATGATACTTGGGTCGAGCAGACCTTCCTACCGATCACCTGAAACTAAGTAACATCCGTCAAAGTGCATAGAGATGATGAACCTCCTAACCAGACTACAAAATGATTGATAGAATTTGGTCAGGAGTTAAGAATTGACAGAATAAAATTGGTTGCTTGGCAGCGATCTATCATTGTGCTTAATCCGGTCCAGTAGATGGTCGGTTACGACTTGAATAACTCAATGATAACGTCACTGTCTACAACACTAGATGACACGAGATCAAGTCAAGTGGGACATCACTTCCATCGAGGTTGTAGATGAGCCAGACTGATAACTACCAATAAGCGAAAAACATACATTATGATCATGATTCTTAGGAAAGTAGTTTATATTGCTTAACAACTTACTGAACAGATTTCAGTCTTACTGACTTTATTTCTTCCATGTGTTGCCTAACCTCTTAGAAGATGTAAGTTTTCTTCTTTCTTGAATTTCTTCCCTTGTCTTTTGTTGTGATCTTGACTACAAGATGCGACCAGTGTAACATGTCTCAACTGATTCTATGGTTCGCCTTTTTCTTTTTGTTCTACCATTAAAGGGTAGGAAAAATATAGAAGGCCGCTGCTATCGGCTATTACTGCATTGAGTATGTATTTGAGAGTCTGGTCATAGTACCGCTTACTTCCCAACCCCTCAGTCCGCCCAGAGGATTCAAAAAGAAGGTAAGTATATTCCACTAACCCTTAGTGAATAAAGGTATATCAGATGACAGGAGATGAAAACTGTCAAAGACCTATGACAGTAAGCATATTTACAACCATGAGAAATTTGATTTTCATCAGTATTTCAAACTTATATTAACTAAGCGTTCAACAGTTGCATTGCATATCCACTTGTAACCAACTTGTATAGAGAATTCAAATTCACAGGGCTACTGGTGATATGCATTACTTGCTGAGAAAGCCTCTGACTTATAAACTGGGTGATATTGATGCCAACCATGAAGTAAACACCAGTTCTCTCATAACTTCATATACAAGTTATTGATGAGTACCAGCGAGCTTAAAATCTAAGTTGAGTAAGGTTTTCTTTTGAGTGACGAAACCATGATCCGACCAGGGATTACGGTCAGAAGGTTACCACTCAGCCACTGGGTCAGAATTTAACAGTCCGAGTTTTCTACCTCTGACAACTCACGATATACTGCGTACTCATTGGTGACTAACTTCGAGTAGTGGTCCCTGATGTTTCATTCAGGAGTTATTAACAATGCAACCAAGCAGCAATGGAAGTGGATGGGGATCGTGCGATATCGTGGATGAGATGGTCATGGGAGTCCGCCGCTGAAGGGTCACATACTTAAATGAAACAGTTTTCTTGTGTTTATAGGTTCCCAATGATTTTCCAAATAGTATCAGTCCATGATGTTTACCAGTATGGAAGTAATATTAGTTTATTATTCAAACTTACTCTTCATAAATCTGTTTGAATTAATGTACCAAAGATGAGCGGATGAAAACGACTTCTTCCATATGTAAACACCTAGTAGAGTTAGGTCATTCAGCACCTCAAGATTCATCCTTTAAAGTAGTTTATAAAATTAAATTGAACTACTCCAAAGGTTTATATTTCCATCACTTGTACGTAGAGCTGAAGCATTAGCTATACATGAACACAAAAACTGGAACTTTACATTCAAAAAAGTTTCTTGAAACCACTTTTTCTACCTTGGCTTAAACAATCCAGTTTTGGTAATTTTGTCAGTTTCATTTCACTTCACTTTGGTATTATTATTATTATTATTATTAGTCCCTTGGGTTCCTGATGGAATATACCACTTCAGTAGCACGTCTCCAGTGAACTCTCTTCTCTGAAATCTTTTCAACCTGGCTCCATGACAGCCCACAAGCTCTCGTTTCCTCCTCTCACGATCTCCTCCATGTCACCCTCACCTCGGACGCCCAACTCGTCGCTTCCCATGGGGGTTCCACTTGAGTACCTGGCCTGACGCGTGATGTCCCCAGTCGGCCTTCTCAGTGTATGTCCAATCCATCTCCATTCCCTTCCACTGCATATTTGTTGTGTGATAGGTTCTTGGTTGGTTCGTTCCCAGAGCTCCTTGTTGCTTATTCTTATTATTCTGGCAATGCATCTGATCTTCAGTAGCGAGCCAGCGTAGGCAGTTGTTGATGAATATCTGTAGTTCATTGGAAATCCCTTTTGTGACGCGCCAAGTCTGTGAACCATACAGAAGCACTGAGTTGACTAGGTTGGTGTTGAAAATCCGGATCTTGCTCCGCATGCTGAGTGCAGTGCAGAATATCTCCACACTGGTTTCAGGCTAATCAACGCCTGTCTTGCTTTTCCGATCCCGCCTGACTTTGCCACCCTCGTGTGTGCCACCTGTAGTTGCAACAGTGCTTCCTAGATAGGTGAAGGAGGTTACTTCCTTTAAGTTTCTCCCGTTGATGGTGACTGGAGTTTGTTAATATAAGTGAAAAACTTGGGCACTGTGGTAGAATGTAGTTCCATATTATATATCAAATATCAAATAAACAAATCTAATATGGAACTGGAGTTTGTTGTTAGTGCGGTATACTTCTCTTTTTATTATCATCATCACCATTATTATCACCAATTTTCACTTGATTGACAACATTTGACCCATATTTCTCTACCTAATGTCAATTCCCTGTCTTATTCATTCATAGGGTAGTAGAATCTTCCATACATCTGGGACAGGTGTAGAATCATTTCGATTGCTGTATGTATTTCTTGTTGATTCGATAAACAAACAGTTGGTTATCAATCTCTCCCTTCAACCAACTAAGTTTTTAACGCTATTGCTCTGTCCTACACTACTGTGTGCCTAATTGTGTGTAATTGCGTGCAGAGCTATAGCGAAGCTTTTCTCTACATTTCTTATCTTATTAGGATCTACTAATCTTGATTCAATTAAGTGTTTATGCTCTGTTATTCTAATCGAACCTGGTCAACTGCTTTGATCTACGTACTTGACCTCGCATTCATTCTAAGGGATTTGGTGAACCAGATTATTTTGTCTAACTACAACAAAAGGGTCTTTTAACTTACAAATTTTGTTTCTAAGCGAGTTTGTTGGCTTAGATGCCACTTTAATCCCAGTCAGCTTTATTGAGAATTCTTCGTAATGCTTCTGTGATGCCTTCCTTGTATGGTAACACGGGAGAAGGTATGAATTATCTCTCAACTCTGCACCATTATTACCATTAGTAGTAAATTATTAATAATAACATCTGTGCCAGTACTACTACTACTACTGTTACTATTATTACTAGTACTACTACTATTTTTCTTTCGATTCCTTATGAATTTATTTATAAACTTTGGCGGGTAGTTATTGAGACGGGTGAGGTATTCTTGATGTATCTAACTTCTTGTTGTAGATTTTCTGGTCTGTTAGTAAGCTTCTTCGCCCTATGACTTAGGCATTTAACTAAGCCTACTTTAAGTGAAATGGGGTGGGAGGATTTGAAGTCTAAGTACCGATTTGAATGGGAAGATTTCCTATAGACGAAACTAGTCTCCAGATTTCTTTCTGGTGTTCTTTTAATTTTGTAATCCAACATCGTTAGCTTACCTTCATCACTTTCTAAGTCACAGGTAAATCGAATTTCATTCACTACTGAATTCATATGTTCCAAGAACCTAATCGATAAATAAACTGCAGTGAACTAGGCATTGAGATGGATGACTTTCAGCTCCTGAACAGACAGTTGGATGTTTAGTCAATAAGGAAACAATAAAGTGATTGTGTGTTGCGCAATCTGTTGAATACAACCAACATGAGTCTAAGTAGACGAACAATTCTTGGATCCAAATCGAAGTAAACAATGAATAAATACAAGGAATTATGAAGTTAACTTTTAGCTGTAGAAGACATCAAGATGTTGAAATAATGGAGAATATTTGTAGCTCAGGTGGATGATCTTGGTTACATTGTGTTCTCTGATGGCTGAGTTGTATAATTGTGAAGCTTTCTAGACAGCGATATCATCAGCACTAACTTCAGTATGATGTAAGCTGTCATTATCTCCCCCTCAGTGGTTCAGTGGCTTGCTCTGACGATGTGATCTGTGATTGGTTATTTCCTTCTATTGTTGTGTCATTGATTGTATAGACTTTCCTGTTGACTATTCCTCTACTTGACCTCTGACCTTTCTGTCCTTTATCACTTTTCATATTGATTGATAGATTTGGTCTATGTTTATGCATCTGTTGATTGTGTATATTTCGTCAATCTATTATTAGAATTTTGAGGGAGTTGTGGAGATTTGGAAATATTTCAAGTTGTTATTCATCGTAGACTGATATCAGCTAGAGGAATAAAGGAAAGGTGGGAGCACTGGACAGTTGTTTCATCAGACTAGTATGAGACTGACTCCTCAGCAGTGCGTACCCATAACCCCATCAGGGAATGAACCCGCGACGTTCAGGTTTCACTGCCAGCGCATTGCCATTTAGCCACTAAGTCACAATCCAATGCTTCATATTTCCAACTTCTGTTAACTCAAGATATAGCGCAAGGATAGGATATAACGAGGACAGTGACTCAACGATGACATTGGGTGGCAGTTGAGCTATATCTATTTGTTGTTTATATTCCTATAACAGCTTAGTTGATTATTGAATTCTTATTTTTCCATATCAAGACCAATTAAATGACAAGTATACCACTTGTCAAATATTTAACCATTACATGCTAACTAGTCTGACATTTGTCATTTATACAATACATAGATTAGATCAGTTAACTAATGAAATCTTTCTATAAATACAAATAATTAGTCATTGTAAGTGAATTGTTCCTTTATCTTCTCTTTTCTTTCTTGAATGTATACACATATGGCGTACATTACAATTATTTCATTGTTTCTTTTCTCATTTATATTTCTAAGTGAATGTGATAAGTTAAAATTGAAAAGAGAAGTAAGAGAGGTGTTTCAATTGCATAAATATTATCGAAATTCAATTCGTTTCTGTCAAGTACCTTTTCAACCTCCAGCTAAATTTATGGCGAAATTGGTAAGTTATATTATTATTATTATTACTATTACTATTATTATTAATGAAGACTATGAACCATTTGACTTTGGTGGTGAATGGTTAACGTGTTCACCATGAAACTTGAAAGTTCTAAGTTCGATACCTAACAGGGTCATGGGTATGTACTCCTGAGGAGTACCATACTAGGACGAAACAGCTGACCAATGCTCTCAGGTTTTCAATGGTTCCCCAAATGATGTCAGTCAGTGAAGAATACTACTTCAATATTATTATTATTATTATTATTATTATAAAGGTGGCTGTTCTCTAGACACCGATCAAGATGTTTAATCCAGTCGTGTATAAGGTTAACTGCAGCTCGAACAGTATACCTTTAAGCTATCCAGGTTTGGTCCTCTAGGGTGACTAGAATTCTCTTTTGGTTGTAGTTACATTATTCTGATGAGTACCAATAGATACCGAAATATCTCATCGAAAATGATAATGAAATTGAATATACTCTAATGAATACTTAACTATAAGGGATACTCATCCAGACTTATCAAGTAAAACTTGCTATCTGACCTTTGATTGGACCTAAGCAGTCGGTCTGTATAGTCATACGGGCTCTTATGCGGATGCCTCGATATCGCCTTTGTTTCAATTATAAATCATAATAGTGGCTTATGGTGGAATTGAAGATCAACAAATTATCCTATTTAGAACACGTCAGGTGGATTTACCTGTTCCCACTGGGACAATACTAGAATAATACAAAGGACAACATTTGAAGCGATCGATTCTGAGTTTAAGTACCGGTGAGGATAAAATCACCCACTGGGAGCCAGGTACATCCAGCCGACGAGTTCGAAACATAAGGAAACCCACATCTCCGATACTACTGCTAGCCGCTTTCCATCAGAAAGACTTCTTTACTGATAAAATATTGATTTCAGAGATGAAACTACATCTCAAATCTTAACGAATTGGCTGTCATAATACATCCGAAGGATAATTTTCCCCACTAATCTAGAGTGTAATAACGATAAGCCACTGCTTTCGACCACTTCACTGTGTGGGTTTACAAGCCTACTTACTTATTTGGGGTTAGTTTATATTGTCTTGCATAGCTGTTGGGAAGAAAATTCAAATCCTTCATCAATTCCATTCTCCAACGGTTGATCAACTGTGAATATAAAGCTGCATCAGAACCCTCTTTCTTAGTCATAGATAGAAAAAAAGGGACCAGTCTTAATAAAGCGGTTTTTTCAACTTTCTTTTGGTAAAGTTACTTCGAATTAACCACTGAAGCCTGATTTGCACGTTTCTTTCTATGCTTATGACACTTTCTTCGTTTTCCGAATTTCACTAGACTTAATCAGTTTTAACTATCATCCCGCTATCTTCTTTCTTCATTCATTGTCTTTAAGTCCCCCAAAGGAATACTTAACTGTCACAGTTCGTGTTTGCTAGGAGTTTACACCCTGTCAACTTGACTCTTCTTCATATAGCTTTTGTCTGATAGACTACTATACAAGATCTTCACATCTCTAGAAACTACAACTTGATTTCCCTCTGAACGTCAATCTGATGACGCAGCCTTATCTTATTATTCAATAATGAAGCGCTTTATATGTTTGTCTCAGTGATGCCTTTGAAGCAAAGACAGGAAGGAGTAAGACAAGGTTGCCACCTACTATCACCCAGGATCTTCCTGAATGGAGCTGACTGGACCGGATTGGATCATGCAAAAACTATGAGCAACACGAAGGTGGACATGCGCTTTTTGACCGATGAAAAAACCCTAGAAGATTTAGATTTTATCAGCGATGATGATTTATGTCTCATATCTAATGTCACACAAACTCGAAGATATACAGGTGAAAACATGAAAGTTGGCAGAAGAGTTAGCATAGGGGTAGAGAAAACGGGACTTCCTTCAGGTGAACATAAAGAAGACACTGGTGGTGAAGATACCCAACCAACAACAACAACATCAACAACAAGCACCAGTCAACATCAACGGGCGAAACCTAAACTAAGTTGTCTCATTTCACCTAACTACCTGCCTACCTATCTAGACAGCATCATTTCAACTACAGGTGGCACAGGCACACATGAGGATGTCAAGGCCAGCCAACCAGCCAGCCAGCATCAGAAAGACACCAAGACAGGCCCTCTGCTTTAGTCTGAAATCACTGTGGAGGTCTACTGTACTCCACTGTACTGCACTGCACTCAGCATAAAGCGGGAGCAATATCCGGATTTTCAACACTGATGTCAGTGAAGTGAACCAGTGTTTGTACGCGATGGTTGAGAAAGTTGGCCCGTTACGAAAAGCAATCTCAACAAACTATGCTCACTCGATACTGAAGATGGAGATCAGATGAGAAAGCCAGAAGGAATAAGCAACAAAGATCTTTTGGTACAATGCAACCAAGAACCCATCGCCAATTCAGTATGCAGAATAAGCAAGTGGAGATAGGTTGGATTGGATTGGATTGGACATACACCAAGAAGACTATTCGGCAGCATCATACGCCAGGCCCTGAAGTTAAACCGGAATGGGAAAGGACGAGTTCTACGTCTGACGGTGACATGGAGGAGATAGTGTGAGGAAGAAATGAAAGCTTCTGAGCAGTCGTGGAACAAGGTTGAGAAGACTCCAGTGAAGAGTATGAAATGTTCATATGCAACTGAAGCTCTTTGTTCCACTGGGAACCCAAAGGACAAATAATAATAATAATAATTACATTGTTTGTTGTTATTATAAAATATAACTATATGGCACTAAAGAATGATAACTTTCAATGTCTCAATTCTATTATCTTGTTAATTTTATTACAGAAATGGAATAAACATTTGGCGGATAAGGCTCAAATCACTGCTAATCGTTGTGATTATGCTTATGATAGTCCAATTGATATGAATTTTGATGAATTCTATTCTGTAGCACAAAATATTGCTGATAGTCCAACAATTGAAAAGTAAATTTAAACATACATAATTTATCTATATACTTGGATTCATCTTTCATTTTTAGAGCAGTAGCAAGTTGGTTTAGTGAGTATAAAAATTATACCTATGAAACAAATAAATGTAAAGGCACATGTATGCAATATAAACAAGTATGTATTATATAAATGATTTGTTTATTTAAATCTATGAGATAATAAATTTAAATGGCGGAAATTTTGAATTATACAAAGCAAAATTACAAATTAACGAATAGAATTTAGATGCATCGAATGACCTTGTGAAGGTCACAGATTGACCAATCACAACCCTGTCCAAGATGAAAGCTATAAATTTGGTAATGATCAGTCAATAAAATAGCTTTTAATTGTGAATGTAGAGAGAAAAATTTAGGAAAGTATTTGATTAACAAACTAATCAAAGCCTGGATAATTTACTATAACCTTCTTAGTGTTTACTCGTCAAACACTTAAGAAAAAAACAAACCTGGAATAGTATGCATATTTAGAAGATCAATCTTAGTAGTAGGGATACTATAATACCCTCAGAAAAGAAACACAGGTGATTATAACTTCTAGTAACTTGATTAGCAGTACTATTTTGTAAGTTGACTTTAACATGGGATATTGTTTTCTCCATTATTGTCAACTGTTGTGCCTATGAATCTTGCTGAGTTCTGTTCTCCTGACAACGTTTCTACGCACATTTTTTTTAACCACTTCAAAGTGATTTTCATATTGAGGATAAATAGTCCCTGCTAGTAGAATCTTAGATGTAAAGTTTTATTTTGTTCAGGACTTGTCAACTGGATATGTTTGTATCCCACTGAGTGATATTACTCTCACTAGAAGTTGAACTCAGCACCCATTACTTTAAAAAGTCGTTGCGCGACGCGCTTTGTGTGATACTATGACTTGTTATTTGATTCGAATAATCAAACACTGATAACATATAGGTTACTGTTCAGTTAACAGGATGTATTTCGGTCTTAACCAGTCGATAACATCAGACAGCTGTTCGTCAATATAGACATTTATGTATTCAGCATTATTATAAAGGATACCTAGATGAATGAACTACTAGTTCCATTTTAGTAAGAAGTACAAGCACAGTTTTCAAAAATCACAATTTTTCACTGTTTTTACATTCTTGATCTGATAAAAAAAAGAACTACTAAATATCTTGTGCTACAGAAATGACTCCTGACGAGATCATGAGTGCCCACTGCTGAGAAGTCTCATTCAAGGACAAAACAGCTGTCAAGTACACTCCAGTTTCATTGATTCTTCAGATAATATCACTCTGTGGCAACAACAAAAAAAACTAGTTTTCAATCAATATACCCCTATCAAATACTAATTGAACAAAGTGTCTTTATTCACCATTTACAGATGGTAAAAGGAGAAGAAACGGAGATTGGATGTGGTGTTACAAAGTGTGGAAAAACTTACTTGGTTGTGTGCAACTATTCTCCATCGTAAGTACTTTACTTATTTCAGTACTTCCACACTCTTTCTAGTCCTATATATATCAGCGTCAGTTTCCTTATTGTTATTTGTCCCTTGGGTTCCTAGTCAAGCATAGGGATTCAGTAGCACATAGCCATTCCACTCTCTGCTCTCCAATCTTTTCAACCTGGCTCCACCACTGCCCACAAGCTCTCATCTCTTCCTCACACACCATCTCCTCCATCTCACCCTCACCTCCCACGACCAACTTGCCATTTCACATCTCACTTCCACTCAACCACCTGGCTGGCCTGGCACGTCATCTCCACGAATCGTCTTCTCAGTACATGCCAAATCCATCTCCACTTCCACTTCCACTTCCCTCTGCAGATTTGTTCAGCGAAAGTTTCTTGCTTCGTTGGTTCGTTACTTGGCCAACAAGAGTTCCTTGTTGCTTTCTCTTACTATTCTCGCCATCTCATCTCATCTCATCTCATCTTGAGTAAGGAGTGAGTGTAGGTGGCAGTTGTTGATGACGTATATGTGTAGTTTGTTGGAAATGCTTTTCATAACACGCCAAGTCTCTCAACCATCACATAGAAGCACTGAATTGACTGACGTCAGTTGGTGTTGAAATTCTGGATGTTGTTTGTGCTTTATGGTGAGTGCAGTGCAGAGGATCTTCATACCGGTTTTAGGTTAATGAACACCAGTCTTGCTTTTCTGATTCCGGCTTTGACGTCTGTAGTTGAAACGGTGCTGCTCAGATGGGTGAAAGATGCTGCTTCCTTTAAGTTTCTCCCGTTGATGGTGATTGGAGCTTGTTGTTGATGGTGGTGGCGTTGGTTGGGTATCATCATCACCTGTGTCTTCTCTACGTTCAGTTGAAGTCCGGTCTTCGCTGCCTCTTCTGGTCTTGTCGAAAACATCAACGATGCAATTTTTCCTCATTAAATTATCGTCAAATCAATGTTCACAACTTCTGAGTTATTGCCTAGCTAGATATTTATTTATACTGCTTGATGATTGAAGGTGAAATGAAAATTCAGACCTCAGTTGGATTCGAACCAACGACCACCGGGTTTTCGGCCCAGTGCTCTACCAACTTATCTATGAGGTCCGACTGTTGACCATTAGAGAATATTTGATGCGTTACCGCAACTTGATCTTATTCACACTGGCTGCCTAGTCAGGACTAGTAAAATGTGGGCCACGATTGGACTCGAACCAGTGACTCACTGGGCACCCATAGTAGATATAATCGAGTGATAGAAACTTGTCACGAAGTCACATGATAGTCAGGCAAAACCTGCAGTGATCATCCAATATCAATCAGTATTAGTCTGTCAAACCACGTCTATCTCAGGTAGTCAAAAAGATATTTATTTCCTAAACTGAAGACCTGATGGTTCCCTAAGGAGTTCTATTTTCAAAGCTGGGTTTCATTATTCGGCAAAAGAAATTTAACTCATTCACTATGTATACGAATAAGAAGTATTTGTATGAATGATGTAGTAAATGAGGAGCTGGAAGTACTTCAAAATATGTAACTCAAGAGTAATTATCCTTCAAGATTAGTTGAGAGAAATATGAAGCTTGAGAATTTCTATAAATCACACTGTTTATGAATAGTAGATTCAAGGGAGATACATTGGCAGATATGCTGAAAAATCAACTGTGCAAAACACTATAGGAGACCTTCTTTTCTACTCAACTTCGGATTATTTCCTTCAGTCAACAACTGATTCGAGAGTGTTCAAAGGATAAAGTACCATTTTAGCCTTCCTACGTATGTGTCTGCCAATTCATCTGCTCTTGTGAAGCTGGTTACATAGGCCAAGCAAAGCGTGTTCTGTGTTCAGGTACATCTTCAAACGCTAACCTATATGGTTGTCTAAAAGATAGTATAAAGCCATCAGCAGCTCGATTCTTGAGCATATGGTTATCTGTGGTCACTATTCTCTACAACAGTGAAGGTAAACATTTCCAAGTGATTGTATATTCGCTACCTGAGCAAAGCAGAAGCGCTAACAATCCAGCATTACAAGCCTGTTCTTTGTGTTCCAGAAAGACATATTCAATGTCTAATTCTCCCTTGATCATAATCTACCTGAGATAATTTATTCATTCCCGTGTTTATTTACTATAATCTTTGATGACCTTGAGATAAACTTCAAGCCGTTATAACCTTGTGATCTTATTGGCCATTTTTGATGACCTTGTATTGTTAGATCCTAATATTTTGTCGTAACTATGATTAATGTGTAAATCTTATGAAAATGATTTGTAAATCTGGTAACTAAGTGTATGCTTCAGTGAGTTAGATTAGTGTCTTAGATCGAATTAAAGCACTTGCAAAAAAGATGAATACATTAGGTAGGTATTCATGGCAAAATTTCTGAATCAAAGATATACTTCAAGTTGTTATTCATCGAAGACTGACATCCGTTGGAGGAACAAAGGAAACCTCGGAGCACTGGACAGCTGTCTCGTCCTAGTATGGGACTCCTCAGCAGTGCGCACCCACGACCCCACCGGCAGGGATCAAACCCGCGACCTTCAGGTTCCGCGACCAGCGCGTTACCATTGAGCCAGTGGGTCAGAGTCCAATGCTCATATTTCCAACTTCTGTTAGCTCACGATATATAGCGCAAACGCCACCCAATGTCATCGTTGAGTATTTGTCCTCACGGCCATCAGGCTTTGACTCCACCGGTCACGACTTGTCATTGGAACTTCGGGAATACTTCTCGAAGCTGGTCACCAACGAGCACTAGTTCAATTAAATTTTGAGGGGGTTGTGGAGATTTGGAATTATTATTTCAAGTTGTTATTCATCGAAGACTGACATCAGTTGGAGGAACCCAGTGACCCAGTGGCTCAATGGTAACGCGCTGGTCACGGAACCTGAAGGTCGCGGGTTCTATCCCTGCTGGTGGGGTCATAGGGGCGCACTGCTGAGGAGTCTCATACTAGGACGAAACGGCTGTCCAGTGCTCCCAGGTTTCCTTTGTTCCTCCAACGGATGTCAGTCTTCGATGAATAACAACTTGAAATATTTCCAAATCTCCACAACCCCCTCAAAATTCAAAGATATACTACTTTTTTCATTTCAATAATTTCAAAATTTATCTCTTTATTTTGTAACAGAGCTGAAGATGATAGTCAGCCATATGAAAAAGGAAAATATGAAATTAATTGTGATGATGTTGATGGTGCAGAATACTGAAGACACTTTATACTGTACAACAATGTGAAACATAATTATCGTTTTCATAAAATCTATTGTGTAGTATAAAACCAGTTTGATGCTTCAGAAATAATACTAATCGGTAGTCAGATCATTTAATTTCACTTTGTTGAAAGTATTCCAGTGTGGATAGCATCACTCACTGGAGTACAAGTACAACAAGATGACGAGTTCTCAAATACAACGAAGCATTCAGTCGAAATTCCACTAACAACCACCATAACGGTAATAGATAACTATTGTGTATTTCATTGTTGCGACGAAGGGAAATATTTTTCTCTTCGAAGAAGTCATTTACGAAGCTACACATTCGTGAGTATATCTTACAGTGGACAGAACGTTCCAGAATCATTTCCGGTTAGGGGACGAAATATATTCGATATAACTGAAGGAAGTTAATTAATACACATTAGGTTTTAGAGTGGGAAAATAGACAAGGGATTATGAAATATATGTAGAGTTGCCTAACCCAGGATGAATTTATGACAGTGTAGGCTTTATGGCAGCCATGGATAAGATGAAGATTGGATATACCTTCCTTGGATAAATAACGCCAGTTTGAACTTCTGGATGACTAATACTTCAGCAATAGACAAATACCTTGATCTTATTCCCTTCGAGTAGTTTCATCGAACCTGTGAAGAGGATGTTGAATGAGCTCTTAAAAGGAGCTAAGTGGCCTGAGTTCACGAGGTGTTCTGTTATTGACCTGAAGATACATTTCCATTCTCCCTTTGCCAGTCAGGATGAGTGATGTTCTCGGGCATATTCTACAAGCAGACACATGGTACCATTGATGTGCTCTGCTCCACAACAAGAAGTAAACTGGTACACACACATTGATATGACCCAGTGCATCAACTTGTCTTTCTCACATTGACCAGAAAGTTTCTTAAATGAGAAAACAATTCGAAGGTTGGCGGTAAAGGATGTTCCGTATAAGGATTTCGACAGTCGTTTCCTGAGGATCTCTGCAGCAATATCATTTCTGAAGTCAAGATTCAACAGATTAATCTTTTGCGGCGCTAAATGTGTTCGGCAATTTAACTTTTTGCCTTCATGTTATTATCTGCGAATCTGAGCGGGAAAACACTAACTGCAAGAGTTCGTTGAAGCATTTTCAGTTCTTCGTCAACGGTGTCCTCAGTACATATTTTCCTGATCCTCGAGGAAAGTGAATGGATAAGATTTGTCTTCCTGCACAGAGGGACTTAACTTTGAGAGTTAAAAAGCTGTACGTTCCATATAGGCTTTCTGCAAATTGATCTAGGAAGTGAATTATCATCTTTTCTTTGAAGTTGAACATCAAGAAAATGGAAGGTTGAGTTTGATTCAAATCCTAGAGTGAATTTGATTGAAAGGTGTGTGTTGCTGAAAACATGAACAGGTTTGCAAGATCCAGTTTACTTCCTGTTGTTGAGCAGAGCACATCAATGGTACCATGTGTCTGCTTGTAGAATATGCCCGAGAACATCACTCATCCTGACTGGCGAAGGGAGAATGCAAATGTATTTTCGGGTCAATAATAGAACACCTCGGAACTCAGGCCACTTAGCTCTTTGTGAGAGCTCATTCAACATCCTCTTCACAGGTTCGATCAAACTACTCGAAGGGAATAAGATCAAGGTATTTGTCTATTGCTGAAGTATTAGTCATCCAGAAGTTCAAACTGGCTTTATTTGTCCAAGGAAGGTATATCCAATCTTCATCTCAGCCAAATGTGTATTAATTAACTTCCTTCAGTTATATCGAATATATTTCGTCCCCTAACCGGAAATGATTCTGGAACGTTCTGTCCACTGTAAGATATACTCACGAATGTGTAGCTTCGTAAATGACTTCTTCGAAGAGAAAAATATTTCCCTTCGTCGCAACAATGAAATACACAATAGTTATCTATTACCGTTATGGTGGTTGTTAGTGGAATTTCGACTGAATGCTTTGTCGTATTTGAGAACTCGTCATCTTGTTGTACCTGTACTTCAGTGAGTGATGCTATCCATAGTGACAATCGAACGTCTCACTCATTGCTTCAAACGGTAAACGGTCATCTATAGGGCCACTGAAACACATTAGAGACCTCTTGTTCCATAGGTTGTAGTTACCACAAGTAGTTCTCCGCTTTTATACTTAAATGAATTGTTCAACCTCTGTTAGCGCATAGGCTCCTATGTGGCTGCCCCGGTGTTATCTGAAAATATCTTCTTATAGTTTCCCGGAATATAGCTAGCAGTAGGATCTATAATTATTCATTACTAATTCTTGTTGCACAAGATGTGGTGCTTGAACCTCAATATCCTAGGAGATAACGCTTTAGCGTTTATAGCAACGAGTACGGATTTATACATCACTGGGAATAGATAGGATTAACTTATGGTGTACAGGTGTATCCATTTGACCACTTCCGAATAGGATGAGACGCTCCTCATGGAGTTTTGTTGCTAACTACCACTAATTAACCGATAACAATGAGTATTCAGAAAATACTGGATAGGAGTGCATATTGTCAACAGAGGTCAAACAATTCGATCCAGCAAAATGATGGGGAATTACGATTATCAATAATTAACAAAAGTTAACATTGGTATAAGAGTAACATTTGTGTACTAAGGTTTTCCGCATATCAGGATTCACATATACGATCGAAACAGGCTGGCTGGATACAGGAAGAACAAATCATATGCGGATCAAATTGTAAAGCTGCGCATCATCGGAGAATACAGCATAGAATAGCAGTCTACTCTTCACCTCAACTTCATCGAATTCGAAAAGGCCTTCCCTCGACAGCGTCGATCGAAAGGTAATTTGGCAGGCAGCTGCTTCAACACTACGGAGTACCACAAACCGTCATCAACCTCATTCAACAGGTATATGAAAACACCACATGTCAAATGATTCACAATGGAACGCTCACCGACGCCTCTGAAGGAGTAAGTCAAGGCTGCCACCTACCATCACCCATGATCTTCCTCATTGTAGTCGACGGGACCGGACTGGATCATGCAGGAAACTGTGAGGAGCTAGAAGGTGGGCATACACCGTAACGTCGATGGAAAGACCCTAGGAGTTCTGGATTTCGCCAACCACAGTGAAAAAATGGTTGGTTTTGATATAACTAGGCCTTTACACAAATATACCGATTAACATTTCTCTACAGGCAGTTAGAAATGGGCTTAAAGATGACAAAGAACTTACCATCTAACTAGGGTGTCGATCGAGGAAATCATACTAGGAGTACGATTGTGTCTGACATCTACAGTTTTTAAGTTTCAAAATAAAATATATAAACAAACTGGAGGTGTTGTCATGGAATCACCAGTATCCTCTATCGTCGTAGACATATTTATGGGTAGTTGGGAACAGATGGTCCTTCAAACATTTAGTCCTACTCCAAAGATATGGTTCCTATATGCAGATGATACGTTTACAGTTCTGAAAACGCGACACATCAATAGGTTCTTGGCGCATATAAATTCAGTAGTGAATGCAACCCAATTTACCTGTGACTTAGAAAGTGAAGAAGGTGAGCTAGCAATGTTGGATTGGAATATTAAAAGAACACCAGAAGGAAATCTAGAGACTAGTGTCGATAGGAAACCTACCATTCGAATAGCTTCTTAGACTTCAAATCATCTCACCCCATTTCAGTTAAAGTAGGTCTAGTTAAATGCTTAAATGATAGGGAGGAAAAGCTAACTAGTAGATTGACAAATCTGCGATAAGAAATTAGACACATCAGGAATACCCTTCCTCTCAATAATTACCCACCAAAATTGATCAATGAATTCATGAGAGATCGAAAGAAAAGTGTTATCAGTGGTAGTAGTAGTAATACAGGTGTTATTAATAATAATCTCACTACTAGTGGTAATAATGGTGAGGCGGTTGAGAGATAATTCAAAGCCTCTGCTGTGTTGCTATACAAGGAAGGCAGGCACCTGAGAAGCATTATGAAGAATTCTCAATAATGCTGTCCAGGATTAAAGTGGCATTCAAACAAACAAACTCACTTAGAAACTAGCTTTGTGGGTTCAAAGATCCTATTGATGCAATGATAGGGAAGATAGGCAAGTCGATTGTTGAAGTTATGAACCTCAATCGACTGAAATAGGTTGGATATGTACTGGATATGCTGACCCAACACAAACTTCGGTGTGCTATGATAGGTGAGGTTGGATTAAGTTGGGAGAGAAAAGAGAGTTCAGGGTGACTAGACGAAGACAGAGCACCAATCGATGAAGTCCATGACTGTTGGTCTGAGTCAAGTTGGTCGATACAGAGCACTTGGTTGGAGTCACAAAGACAAAGACTGAAAGACGATTTGGCAGCAGCTGCTTCAACACTATGATCCTAGCACCACAAACCTTCATCAAACTCAGTCAACAGCTATATGCTTCATGGAGACCATGATGCTACATGTCAAGTGATCGACAATGAAATGCTCAGTGATGCCTTTGAAGGGAATGAAGAGAGGAATGAGTAAGACAAGGTTGCCACCTACCACCACACATCATCTTCATCATTGTGGTCGACTGAACCACACTCGATCATGCAGCAAACCATGAGAAGTGCGAAGATGGACATACACTTGTTGACCGATGAATAGACAAAGACACTGGGAGATTTGGATTTCGTCGATGATAATTTGTGTGTAGGCAGCATCGTCTCAACTACAGGTGGTGTCGACACACATGAGGATGTGATAGTCAGTCAGTCAGTCAGTCAGTCAGTAAGCCAGCCAGCCAGCAGTCAGCCAACCAGCCTCCCAGCATAGGAGACACAGCAAGACACACCTCCCTGCATTATTCTGAAATCAGTGTGGACATCTACTGCACACCACCACACTCCACTTCACTTTGCATCTCAAACAACATACAGATTTCAAACACTAATGTCAGTCAAGTGAGTCAGTACTTCTGTGTGATGGTTGAGAGAGTTGGCGCATCACATAAAACATTTCCGACAAACTGCACATATAC